AAATTCTCTTCAAAGAAGCTTATTTACCTCTTTTTCCCTTTGTAGTAAACAGTTTGCAATCATTGACATGATTCTGATAACTTTGGTTCGTTAGTTCTTTTAGTCCTTTTTTTATATCAAGAAGATTATAGGGTGTAATAAAAAGAATTCGAGAAAGCTATAATTCTACAAGGAAGAGACGCTGATGCTAGAAACTTTCTATCGCAAATGATCTTTATAACATCAGATAACCAGATAGTGCCAAATTACGCTTGATTAATTCAAGCTATTTTGCATAACAACCCAACAGGAACTAATCGCGATGTTCATCAGCTGGTTATCTGTTTGTTTCCATATATTTGGTAATCTTCGGATGGTATATGTTTCATCTTCATGCAACCAAGTGTCATCCTTTTACAATCCCTGACATGGCTGACACATTTCGCACGAGATACTTTGGCCAATCTCGCGATCGTAACCGTGGATCTTGGCGCGCGACGGAGCCAATTAACCGAGATTGGCTTTCGTTTCGTCGTTGCTCGACTTGGCCCGTAATCTTTAGCTGCTTCGTAAGACGCCCTGAAGATCCTCCTGAACCGTTGATCGGCGATATCGTCCGAGGTCAGGCAATTGCGACGTCCTTCTTACCTTCCTTCTTCTTCTTTATCGCTTCCTTTTTTTCCTTCCTGAAAGACGATACAATCCCACGATCCACATATCCCCGTATACGCACCATCGCCACCTCGGTCACGTTACGAGGAAAATATCTAATAAAAAGCGGAGCGAAGTGGTTCCGAGCTTACGTTGCTGTCATCTTTATATAAAGATTTCCTCTGGAATCTCGCCCACCCTCGCCCGCTGATCGTCAATCGCAGAAGAAACGAAAGATTGCATAAATGATGTTGCGACCGTCGCATGTCGGATAAAGTCACGTGTTCGGATTATCATATAACCGAGACTCTGATCCCAGAGATAATACCGCATGAATAGTTTCTTGGAGTATAACTTTTGGTTACCAGTCTGGCTAGACAGTTATATCACCGTCGAAATGATTTCTCGGAATACGGTATATGATTATTGTGATTCGTAGAAATATGTTATTATATGTAATTTAATAATCAAATATATTCGGAATTTCGATTAATACATCGCTGATTAGACTTCCACTCATATCACCTAAATTTGCGATTTGTTTAGTAAAATTATTCGTATACTTAAAAGCTGTATTTGATTATTGAATCAAGCTAAAAGTTCGCATTCTATTGTTTGTAATTATTCTCCGATAATTTAACAGAAATATCAATATGAACTATATGATGTAATATGGTTTATAAAGCGATTTCCAATAGCTAATAGTAATGGATCACGTAGCCTTGACGACTGTTCCTAATCGAAAATTGATTGCGATCATAACATCGTTATCTAGTGACCTTAATCGATGCAAGTAACAACTCTTTTTTGTGCTTTTTTTGTGTCTAGTTCGCACATGGTTCCGTGCATACGTCCTGGCTCTAAGATAGATCGCCACGGATGTTCATCTCCGTTATCTCACAGAGCCATGTAAACAGGATGCATGCGACAGCGTTTCATGTTATCTGTAGTGATTGCTAGGCGAGGGTTGTCGCTCACCGGCCGTAATAGATTCATTAGGGTAGGCACCACTGCCACATCCCCGGCCTATCGTCGCCCCTAACTCCGCGTACACGTACCCTCTTTCATTTTCTGTCACTCGATCACTCATTCGCATGTAGTATCCGTTACTGGCTCATCTATTCATCTGATCATATCGTTATGTACAATAATTAACTATTTATTCGTACACCGTCAGCATATGTTTTATTGTTATCCTTACTCATTTTACACAAAATTTAAGTCTCGTTTTTTTCCTCGAATTGCTTTAGTTATTCCTCATGTAATGTGTAGTATTATTTCTAAATAATTATTTTTATATATATCATACCTATAATATATGTATAATTCAATAAAGTTGTTTAAAAGGAATTATTTAAAAATAATACTAGTCTAACGCATATTATATCTTTATAAATTTACATATATATGTTACGTCAACTGGGGGCAGTTGATTGAATTTAATCATTGTCCCGAAATGTTTTACTCATTAATTAAAAAATTTCATTCACGTCACACGAGAATGGTCGTGCACATTTTTCAGCTACTACATGTAATCCAGTCCAATTTAATCGAACTGCTCGATCATCAACCTTCTAGTCCCCTATTCTGTTTTCCATGCAGTCGACCCTCGACAGATACCTCGCAAATCAGATTATCGATCGTTAATCAATATCACTGCAATTTGGCGACACGCCAATGCATAGCACGCTTTTGTATATGCGCTTGTGCGCATTCATTGGAAGGCAGTGCTGTCCATTGCAGTTTTTTTCACTTGCGAACGAATAATCGGACCGGACGGGTGGGCAATGCAATTGGTCGTATTATAGGGCAGGCTTAAAACACGATTTTCCTTATATCTTCCATATAAAAAAGACATTTAAAAAAGCGCGCGTGTGTCGTAACGTTCTGACTTTTTAAGGTAAATTTCATATTTCTCATTCAACGTGATTGCTTTTGAAATATTGAAACGAATGCAAATATCATCTTCTTGCGCATTGCAATATTTTAATATGTTTACTTTTCCGAGATTTAATTTTACATCCTGCTTGAATTGTACGAACGAAACAGATGCAAATACATATTCATGTTTTCTTCGATCTCACTTCCACGAGAGCTTTCTTTATATTGTTTTTTGTCTCGCAAGAATTGGATTTCCCTATTTCAGGAATATATTTCTTTGATATAATTTTATCGCGATGTTGCACCAACTGCGCAAACAATATTGCGTTTTCTCATCAGCATTCCTCTCTCATGCCGCAACGGTATTACATTTTTATCATTAATCCTGTGGACTGTCCTCTCTCTAATCTCGTACATCGCACTTTTTTGAATGTCTAAAAGTTTAACGATGAAAAGTTTTACCGCGAACAAAGTCGGTAGAAAAGTAGCTTCAGGTAAAAAGAAAAGGTAATGGATCCTCGCTCCCGTTTTTCATCCGTGTAGAGGGGACGGGTCATCAGTTGCCTCGCTTCCGCGATTCCGCTCCTTTGTGAAAGTTTGAATACGTAGACAACGTCTGGTTTCGCAGGGACCATTTCTTCCGCAGCTTCTCGTATCCGGGACTTCTTCACCGTTTATCACTCGCTGCCAGGAATGTGCCGCGAATTCGGAGAAGAAGGTGAAATGGAATCGCGCGCCGCTCGTTCCCGTTTCACGACGACAGGCGGACCGTGCGATAATTTGCCGGATTCATTGTCCAGGAATTAATTCCCCATTTCGCGCTTCGCGAATCCCTCAGCTGCTATTCCTTTGTATTTGACCATGGAAAATGAAGTTTAAGCTCTCTCGCGATACCAAAATACGCCGGAAATTGGGAATATCCTGCCGCGTTATCGATTCCATAGCAATTTTGTCGGATATAACACGAGAATATGAAGCAAGTATACATTCTATTGGACTCGTAAATAAGTCTTTTCAATTTATTTACAGACTTGGTGCAATTTTAACATAATAATAGGTTATTTGCCTGAATTTATACATATTAAATTTAACTCATAATTAGCAAGATATATTCAATATGTCGTATTTGTATTCAGTTACAAAATGTCTATTGTATATACCATAACAACATAATAATAATCTTCAATATAGAAAATTATATATCATACATACGCGCGCATTTGTGGAAGTCGTTAACCGAGTTTTTGTAAATAAATTGTGGATATTAATAAAATTTAACGAAGTAACAAGATAAATGTCCAAAGCGTAATTCATACCGTTAAATAACTACGTTTATATTGTGCGCGAGATATGACGACTCATATTGTGTGACGAAGATCGATCAAAAACAAATTACTCGGCGACAAAGAGATATACAAAGACTGCCTATTGCATTCTAAGCGGTCGATATTCGCATCCTGATACTGCGAGCCTTTGTGTCTGGGCGAGCGGTGCTGGCTGGACGATGCGATGGAACCGAACGGCTTCCGATAATAATTTTTTTTTCTCACTTTCGACAAGTTTGTCTGTATATCCGCGGCGGTCCCTGTCAAATGCAGTAACCAACATATGGTTTATGGCGCGCCTTGTTCTTGCCGCCCTCCACCAAAGAGGGAATGAGAAAGGATTTCGGTAGGGCCCTCTCCGGTTGAGCATAATGCGCCCATTATCTCCAGTCCTTTCGTCTATTCCGTGTGTGTATTTTGCTTATATAATGTACCGGGTGTCCGCGTAATTTCGTGCCTCCTGCATATGCTCGACCTTGCTTTCTCTTTCTTTCGTCGCTGTCGCGAATGGCCGTGACACGATCGTAAAGCCTGAAGAGGCATTAGACGATGCTCGAACGGGTCGACGAATACGAAGAGACTGAAAGGGGTGGCTGGCTGTGAGGACGTCAAGCGAGGAGGCCAGGGACCATTACGGTAATATCCCACGGATGGAGGAAGTGATTTTTAAGGAGACAAGGCTGCCATTTCAAGGCAATTTCGCTTTCCCCGTGAGCTTTTTCTCTTTCTTCGGCGGCGCGAATCCCCCGCGCTTCCCTTGCAACAGAACGATTATGAAAATTTCGCGCCGTTTTTTAGGGTTCTCATCTCAAAGGAGCTTTATATGGTCAGGTCATCTTTTCACGTGTGATCTTTAAAATCCTTTAAATTCACAACCGATGAATTTTTTGTCATTTCTGTCTTGATAAGTCACGAGCAGTTTATAGAAGAGATCATTTCACACATTTTCTTTCACATAACATGATCAAGTTACATTAAATATATAATTTCTATTGTAATTTTAATAAAAGTTATAATTTTTAATAAATTATAAATTTAATAAAAATTATAAATTTTAAATTTTAATGTAATTTAATCCTTGTCCGCGCCTTGTTATAATTATCAGTGCTTTTGATAATAAGAGTTAGATGTTACAATTGTCGTTCCATTTTGATAAATCTACAGATCCTTCAGCGTCCGGCTCGTCGTGCGAGGACGACGAGGACGGGCGAGCGGTGGTCGTCAGGAAACGCAAGAACAGCGTCTACGCTTCCTCGACCCGCGCTCCATCAGTGGATAGAGAAACTTTAACTTCGACCGACGGCTTGCTCGTAGATTGCGTCGCTTTAGTACATCTCACCGATCAATCCCCGACTGAGTCCGCTCAGCCCGTGCGTCATCCATCACCGTATTACTACGGCGATCTTTTCAAAGTACCGGAGCAGTTGTCCAAGTCGCAGCCAGGCAAGTATCGGAAGAGCGTCAGTCTCGATGTACCGGGCGAGCGTTCGCGCACACCCGGTATACCGAAGAGAAATTCGGTAGCGGGTGATGGAGGCTCGTACTCGTCCCAGCCACGGTATTATCAGCAACCGCAGCAGCCGTATCCACCGCCGCCGCCACCGCCGCACTATCGCAGCCAGGATCTAGTCAGCCCCACGTCGGGGAGCGAGCATGCTGTCCCAGCCAGAAACGAGATCCTCTCGTCGTGCATCATCACCGAGTGGGATCACACCCTCATGCCTCCTCATAGGCTACTAAGCCATGATCTGCCTACCGCCGTTTGTACCTGCGTCGCATCGCCCGAGGAGGAGGAGGATGAGCTAGACCGACGGCAGCCGCAAGTGGGGCGGCACCAAGTGCGCAAGCTACGACGTACGCGGAGGATAGACCCGCAACCGATACTCGTCGAGGACGAGGACGACGTGGAGGGTGAGGACGAGGGGGAGGAGGAGGACGAGGAGGACGCGGAGCCCGAGGAGGAGGACGAAGAAGGGATGGCCAGGCAACGTCACCTCTACGAGACGGCCTTCGACTGCAAGGTCAATCGCTCCGACGATGATCTCGACGATCTCGATCGCGTCACCAATCATGCGGTACTCCATTCCCAGGTATGTATGTTCAATCTGTTACTAGTGCTGTGCCTAAATATTAAATTGAGCGCACTTGTATAAATTTTTACTTATAAATCCTTTTATCGTCATTTTGCAATTTTATTATTTATACAGCAAAATTTTCTTAGAACTTTAGTTTGTTTATTGCACAAACTACATGATTGTTGTGATTATTTTATTTATAAAGAGCAAGTTTTGGATAAAATAAAATGAAACGCAGATACGGAGTAGCGGTACTGCACCAATGAGTAGAACGAGTTCGTCAACAGACACGTTGAAGCAGCAACATCAGCAATCGCTTCCTTATGCCGGCCAGTCGCAATCGAGCAAAGATCATCGACGTAAGGTCGTACTTCTCCGCCCAAAACCGATTCCGAGCCGCCTGCAGCAGCAACAGCAGCAGCAGCAGCAACAGCAGCACCAGCAGCAGCAACAATCGCAACAGCCAGACAATATATCTACTCTGTCCCAGGATATTGAATCCCTCCAGATTAATTCGAGCGATGAGAAAACCGGATCACCGAGATTACCGGCGCGTGATTACACGCCGTCACCGCCGTCGACCGCACCTTTACCCGCGAAATTTCATGGAAATCGAGATCATTTGTTGTTGAACATTCGCAGCGCGCCGAATTTACCATCGCAGCAGGATCATCCCCGCTTGAAAGACATGAGATTACCGGTGAAATCATTGCGCGCAAAAGACTCGCCGCAGAGTAGCGAGGGCAGCATTCTCGAGATCAAGAGTCGGCCGAAGACCTTCGTCCAGGAGAATATCGATTCCTCGCAGGGCCGTCGTTTCGACAAGGAGCTCATATTGGAGTTCAAGGACAGGCCTCGGGAAGAGCGGCAACGACCACGCAGTCTGATCCGCGAGAGTAGGCCGATAATGGAGTTCAAGGGCAGGCCTCACGAAGCGGAGAGCGATCTCGCGCGACCACGAAGAGACGCCGGTCTCTTGGAGTTCAAGCTGCGTACTTCGAGACGTCGCGCCGGTTACTCCAGCACGGAAAGCATGGCGACCAGCAGTAGCGGCGGCAGCATGGAATCCATCAGGAGTAGCACCAGCGAGGGCAACAGATCGACAAGCAGCTCCGACAGTCGGCACAGCACCAGATCGCTGAGCTCCCACAGTTCCGACAGCGGCGGCACCAACTGCTATCATCATCATCAACAGTCATCGCTGCCCGGCTTCCTAAATCACCACGCCACCAAGCTGCACATTCTCTCACCGATCTCCGACAAGTCGTCGCAAGAGCCGGCCTCGGAGACCTCCGACAACAATCGCAATAACAATTCACAGAAAGCCTCGCCCGAGGAGAACGTCACTGTAGAGAACAATACCATCGCGGCAACAACACCAATACGAACACGGTCACTTCGCCTATGGATACGTCTTTCAAGAAGCGGCGGACGCCGCAGAATAAGAATCTAATAAATCTTGCCCTGCAGTCGTCGTCGTCGGGCGACGCGGAGATTCAGGGATCGGACAGCGGCATATCCATCGAGTCTCGCGCGGGCATCAAGTGCAAACCTTTCGGGTTTCACTTGTTGAAGCCGCAGCTAGATAACATTAATCTTGTCGACAACGAGCCGGAACTCTCGGATCTGCCTTTTGACATGCCGAAGCTGCGAAGAAGACGGCTGCTGATGCAACAGGATGCCACTACATCCGGAAGCGCAACCAGCGTGGACTTGAGAGATCTGCCCTTCGACATGCCGAAACTCAGGAAACGTCTAAGATGTACGCAAAGTACCGAATCCAGCGCTTCTCAGGCGTCGTCCAGTCTCTCGGTGCGCGACGTGGAGCCGCCTCCTTTGTTTGGTAAGTTCTTAATTTACCTATGATTCATTTATATTTCAGTTACATTACATTATATATATACTATATATATATATATATATATATATATATATATATATATATATTACATATATTAAATTATACTTCTGGAAATAAAAAACTTCTTAAAAAAACTTCAATTGTACGTAAAAGATTGTAGCGTACAAAGAGAAATTATATTATTTACACACTTTTTTCCGTAATTATTTTATTTTTAATATACTTTAAATTGTAAATACGTCGCGTATTGATGTTTCGAATATTTTTTCAAAGGTAATTAACGTAAAGAGGATGCCACGAAAAAATCCAGGTTTATCTTTCTCCTTAATCGAGCGTCTAGTCATTAAATCGATAAAAACCGCACTTTCGGCACCTCGAGGTAAACTGAGTACTCATCAGGATAGAGGGGCTACCGTAATTTGATGCTGATCGTTATGAACCTTCCAGACAACGGCTAACGTTGTTAAGCTTCACTTAGTTGCTCCCACGGGTGACTACAAACACACGTCTCTTTGTCAACCATGTGTTAACGTATATCTATCCACGTGTATCTATTTCCGAACACATTACAATATTTATTATTTATTTCAATTTATTATTATTATTTTATTACATTAAAAGATATATTAATAATTGAGAATATTACTTTGTGAAATATAACAAAATGATTTTTCGACATATAATTCAAATATAGAGCTCATAAAGCTCATTTTAATCATAAAGCTACTTTATCACGAATGTAAATGGATATCGGCATTTACATGATAACTCACAGCTATAAGTAAGAAACGCGCAGTAATTATGGTCCGATGTTCGGCAACTACAATTTATCAGGTGGTATCGAAATAACGGGTAACGCGTGTAATTTAGATCGCATTAATAATACGAATCATAGGATATCAATAATTTATTACTGGTGGAGTGAATCTGTTTCGAGATGCGTGTGTCGTGCGAGTGCACCGCGAAACGCTCGGAATTAGTCGGGTGATTAAGCCGCCGCCGCCGCCGTTGCCGTCGCATGCCGGGCACCCTCTTCTGTTATCCCCCGAAGCTGTACCGTCCGATCTGATGGGACTTTGAACGCGCGTCGTCTACCCTCCGAGCCTCCAAATTGCGAAAGCTCTAATGCGAGAGGTACGAGAACGAGCTCTCTCTCGCGTTGCACACCGCCTACGGCCGAGGGAGTCGCAACCTGCGGGGATGCTGGCCTGCGGGAGGGCGACGGTAAATGCCAGCGCACGAGGGGTAGGCCTGGGTTTACGTGCGCTGATGTATGGACCTACCTATGGATGAGGTAGGTGAGAGAGGGGCAACGGGGAAAGAGCGAGCAACTATTTTTATCGTCGGTCGAATGTCAATAAAGGAACATGAAATGCCCGGTAAATCCGTTTTACTTCGAAGTTTTACGGGTTCTTCTTTTTTTCGCCTAAAGGAAACATATAGCGATGGCGATCGTGCGACGAGTGATTTCTCATGTCGTGAAATACGTCGATGCGTATTTATTTAATCAATTAGAGCCCCGGGGCTTTAAAGCACGAACGATTATTTTTGTCGAGCAACTATGACTAGAGGGCAGATTATTATTTATTTCACACTGTCATGCAATCGTGAAGACGTAAATCTTTAATAATTCAAAAATTGCCTCGGCGTTGTTGCCCGAGTGATTTAAAGCACGGACGATTATTTTTGTCAGACAACTATGCTACGAGACAGATTATTATTCATTGCACACCGTTACGCAATCGTGAAGATATGAATATTTAATAATTTTAAAATATTTTGTTTTAACGGAATATCAATCTTTTGCATTTTTTTAAATAAGCAAAGAAATGAAAATTAATTGAATTTTTTACAGAATTTCTTCATTCCCGTTTGTCGAGCGCGTGCATCGATTCAATAGAATTCATTCGTAAAACGCTAAGTAAAAAGCAAATCGAAAATGAAGCGTACGACGCAATTGATTCCGTTAATAAAAGCTCAGTCGTGGCACTGGGCAACTACTCTTTGAGCAACCATCTCGTCGAAAATACGAATAAATAGCCGTCGCTTGCACGGAGTTTAATTAACATGTGGGCAAATACATAAATGCGTATGTATATGTTTGTCGGAGTGGTCCTTTCCGTCAGATAACGAAAGTGAGGCTGCCGCATTGCATTCTCTATATACAAATTATTTCGACTGCAGTTGGTTGAATATTTTATGCTTTTTGTCATTGAATGTACGAGGGACGTAAAAAAGCTCTAGTGATTCTGGACAGCCATGAGCGCGCTTTAATGACGGCGAAAATTGTATTCTCTCGCTCGTGCGACGTGTGATTATATAATGTTGCGTTCGTATATGCCTCGAGAGAGGCATTTTAAAATTTTATGAATACGTCGTGCGAATAAATCAAAATTAAAATGTTATTCAACTGATAAAATAAATGTATACGTAGAACAAACTCTATAAAAAAAAAAAAATTAAAAATACGTATCATTTTGTAACCGATGCGGAACGCGTTTTCCCGACGTGTAATATTCCGATTATATATCTCGGTTTGGCGGCTCGCTGCAAGGCGTATCGAGATCCGTAATATTTTTTCCGATTGATGGATGTCGGATTCGTAAATTAGCTTTTTGAAGAGGGACCAGGAGAAAAAAGGGAGATATAAGGGAACGAGAGACGTCGAATGCGTTAGCACGTAATCAGGACCAGATTTCTCCAAAGATATACGCTTTTTATACGTTTCGTTGTCGACAATTACTTTTTCGGAAGTGAGAGGCTAGGCGGAATGTGATCGATCGGTTTCTTTGCGACTTCGTGCGTGGTCGTTAACGGATCGTCTTATTGGTTCGTCGATGCGAATGGGTCGTCGATCACGATAAGCCATCTTGAGCGATGAGGCGATTCGCTTTTTATCATCTATATTTTTCTCACATTTCTACTTATTAGCAATATTGTAATTAATGTTACTAACACGATTATCTCAGATGTAATCTTTTCTTCTTCTGCCTTTTCTTTTTCTTTTAGTCTCTTCACCATTTACACTTAAGTGACAAAACAAGTTGTTTGTGTGTAAAAACTTTTAGATCGCATTTGGTAGATGAGAGTGCGTCACGTCAGAAAAACAAAGGCTCGGGCTGATGTAAGTTACACCTAACAACTTCAGTCGTAAACAACCGGAAGAAGTCTTGTATGTACGTTTCTTCTTTCGTTAGTCAAACCTTCTCTTCGTATCCAACGAAGCGAATCGAGCCAGATATCACCGCATCGATGTAGTTTTTTGCTTCCCTTTTCTCTCTTTTTTGGGCCGTTAACGATCTCCACCAGCTACGAATTCACGTGGTCGGCCATTAAATGGCCTATGCGTGAAACAGATGTGCTCGTCGAGATTGCAAGTATCAATTTTTTCGTTATAGAAAATGATCTAAAACGATGGTGCAAAAAAGCTGAATGTGTGAATATATACATTTACTTACATTTAGATGCGTGACGTTCGAGCAAATATGTTGATTATAATTATGTATTACATATAATATTATATATATTATATAATAATATTATATATGATAATAAATATTTTATTCTTTGCTCGTTTCCTCGAGATCGTTCAATTCGTTATATTTGATCCGATATTTGAGCGAGTTTGATATGCGGACTATCAAAGAGGTCATTTCAACGATGACGTTTAAAAGAGATGATCGGAAAAGGGACACTGCAAACTTGTCGCAAGTAGGGCGTAATATTTCCGATACTTTCAATACGTGCCTGCTATCTTCCTGGTGACACGTGCTGGTACTCGTTGACGTATAAGCGTACATATAAACCCGTTGTGTAGAAAGTATGCAAGGCAGAACGAAGCGGTAGCTCTATATTCTATCCTCCGCTTCAGCGTCTATAGCGCATTGTAGACCGGCCAAACCCGATGGCTTTTATTTGAAAGTACAATGCACGAACTGTTCTCCTTCCAGAGATTAGATCTCCGTCTCTGTCAACGTCACTGAAAAGTAAAAATATATAAGAGAGAAAAATCGCAAGCTATGCTTGCTGTACGTCATTCAGTATCTTAAAAAAAAAAATGGATAAAAATCCAGGGCAATGAAAAGAAATTGTTTAAATTTAATTTTTCTTGGAGCTTGGAGTAGTAAAAGAAAATTCTTCAATTCAATTGTTATAACGAGAAAAAGTAATAAGCCGTCGCTGAATAAACAGACTATAATAATATAATTGTGTCAACTATCAGTAATTCTAATAGAAATGTACTAACAAGTAGAAATGTAAGAAAAATGTTGGCAATAAGAAGTAAAAGCAAAACATAGTATATATATATATATATATATATATATGTAAAATTATGTTTTTTGAAGAATTCAATTTTAGCGAAGAATGTACTTTCAATAGTTTTTTTTTCTCATACTCTTCTGACTATCATGAGATCGCTAGATCGAACTGGCAACGAGATAAGATTTAATCTAAGTGTCATATTCAAGTTGTGAAACAGATATTGCCGTGATTTTACCATCTTCTTCCGATAGTTCGACGCGAACATTCGTCGCAAACTACCCTGTTTACTCCGTCTCCGGTGAGGAAGGACTCGCAATTTCGTTATATCTATTCACAGACGCAAATCACGTACGGTTTAGTCAACATCGCACTCGAAGTCTACTGACCATTTGGTAGTTGGCCAAACTATGCAAACGGTCATGTTTAGAGACTTTATTTTAAAACTGTCACATCGTCAACTTCTGGAAGAAATTTCGAATCGATATCTTACGGATACAATGACGTGATTATAATTTTTATATAGTTTTATATAGTTCGTTAGACAATAAGGACACTGCAGGACTGTTGTATCTGGCAGAATTCAATTTAATAATTACTTGTTATTTTTATTGCAGTACGTTTAACGAAGCAAAATTAAAACATCGGGGGACCCCAACGAACTCTAATTTCCACGGTTTTCTGCAAATGCAGATTTTTTTTAACGACCTTCTCGACGAATTTTTACGTCTCGTGAATTTTACAAGGGCATGCAAATAACGCTACGTGCGCACTGTTTCAAAATTTTTCTTCGCTTTCAGAGCGGATCTCGTACGGACGCAAGCAACGTTTGCGTTTATACTAAACCTCATATAATATGATAATCGTCTCGAATCGTACGGATAAACGTAGTTTTATTCTTGGTTCAAAAACCTAGCCACGTACTGTTTGCCTGATGCTACGCGTCGCGACTGTCTGCTGTTATCCATTTGGTACCGATCCAAAATGCCACCGCAACGCAAACCGCCATTCGGCTGACCATACTCGGGATTTTCTACTGGCAAGTTTACCGACTAAGAATAGCTCACTTTAATGATTACGCTCCACAGAACACATGAAAACCGCGATAATTAGATTAAGTTTCTTGTGTGCAGCTTTCATTTACACTGCTTACAATTTCACACATTATTTCTAGTAAGTAAATTTAACATTATTTTTAAAAATTCCATTGCATACATCAATTTGTCACTTTTATTAATTTGTTTGTGTTTCCAATTAATTTGTTACTTTTATTTAAATCAAAATGTATAATTTGTGTTATTCCTTTGTTTTCTTTCTGCAACTCTGTAATTCTAGTAGTTTCTCTTTAAGATGACGACAGTCTGCATAAGTAACATCCGTAAAATTATCTTTAGGGTCGTTATATACCGTTACCGACAGACAAAGGGTAACTGCGATCAAATATCAAAAGCTCAATAGCTAATCGTATAATATCATTATCTATCAGATCTGAAGATCTTAACAATTTTCGATTTTACTTCAAAGAATTGACATTTTGTTATAATATGCACAAGACTATGTTGTTGATTAAAAAAGTTTTCTTCTTAAAGTGATTTGTTGTTAGCAAAATATTTTTTTTTAACACAAGTTAGTACTGTTTTTTTAATTGGAATTTATTTATAATTTTTAATTGGAATTTATTTATAATTTTTTAATTAAAATTAGAAAATGCATATGTATATGATTTTAATATCAGTATTGAGTTATTTTTTTATGATTCTGGATGTCAGAGATGTATGAAGCCGTTCTCTGTTAACAGGTTCAATTACTAACTTGCGTTTTCCGATATTAGTACGTAAATAAAGAATGAAAGTCTCAGAGTGAGTTATTTTATAAATAATGAATGCGATCGTAGTCAGTAGCGGAAATCGAGGTATCGATGATCCTCGGGCAAATTGTACAAGCACCATTCGAATCGTACGATGGAAACGTCTGACGTGCGCCTATCGTACTTCATATTTCATGAGGATCGCGGACGTATCAACTATTCCGAGCATGTTCGAAGTGTTTGCCACCGCGTCGATAAGGGCCCGTCGACGGAGGGATAGAAGAGCTCAAGGGCGTGTAACTGCAACATCTGTTGGCGGAGAGATCTCCAAGGCCTATCCGGGGCAACGGCATCTCGCAACTGTTGTTAGAGCATTTCGGCACCATTGCGAAATTTCTTCGGGGGAGGGTAGAGCCTTGTAACGACGCCATATAAGCTGAAGACGCGTTTGCGCGTCTCGTGGCGAGTCGTCAAGGAATCGCAAACTCACGGTGACTGGCAGCATTCAGGATATTTTCCTCCATTTACGGTTATTTTATGCGCGAGAGTTTTCGAAACTAGAATTTTAACGCGGATATTTTTATGCTTCGCCGAATGAAACGGTGGCTATAGATCGTAACGTAAGTATGATTGATCTCGCAATTTCGTTGCACGTTCAGCGAAACACTTTTTATGCTCTAAGCGATAGCTACGCTTTTCTCTCCGTGCGTTCGCATTTTGCAAAATTTTCCTCGTAAAACGACAGGCTTTGCAGTCACCGTTGCGTGCATAATAGCGACCGTTCCGTCATAAGGTGACATCTTCCATTTAATAGCGTCTTGCCACTCAATGGAATCGCCATTGACTCCTTTCTCGTGCGCGTTTGACATGCCGGCTCCCCGAGGCCGTAAATTTGCCAGTGTCGTAAATCTCTGCGGCGGGTTTCCCTCGATCTTCTCCGTCCGGCAATAAATACGAATCGCTGGCGCGGGGTTGCTCGACTTCTCGGCTCGGCATTATCCCGAGGAGCCGTCCGACATTCGGCGGTACGCGTCGCCAATATGTCCTGATTTTCGCGGGGAATTAAAATTTCCGTTCGGCGTCGTATCGTGACGATACAGCGTGTACCGACGGCGAATGCCCGCGAGATTTCCCGTGCACATCCCCCCCCTCCCGTTCCCGCTTGGAGTTTCATTCGTGACCAGGAATTTCCCCGGAGACGTCTGCAGCGACGCCTCTCGCGTGTCTGCCGTCGAAGGAATATTTTTCGCTTTTCCTCGCTATTTCTCTCCTCTGACTCTCCAACGCCGCGCGCAATCGTCATTCCCTTTTCCCCGCACGACGCTTCAAGGCATCATTCAAAGTAAAATTCACGCAATTTCGGATACTCTTAAAGCAAGTAATTATCGAATATATGACGATCGATATAAATACTAATGGAGAAGTTTACTCGTGTCCTTGAAGTGCCTGTGTAAGATTCGGTACCAAGGACCTCGACGGCTCCTCCCCATTTCCCGTGGGAGCACGCGGCGGTCGGAAAGCCCGCGAAGAAATTGATTGAGACGTATCTCCGTCAGAGACGGATATTAAAACACTCTGAGAAGGAAAGGGAAGGAATAAGGATACGAGTGTCAGGACGAGAGATTACTCGTGAGATGGGCGCTGTACAAAGGACGGGCTTGGTCGCGGTAGCAAGATTCCAGCAAAGACAGGGACGAGACGAATCGTTTACACCGTCGAAGGAAAGGAAGAGGAAAATCAGGCGGATAAATCTGCTGGGCCGATCGCCAGATTGAATTTAATAATACAAACGCACGCAATCTCGTCGAGTAGAGTTAGCCATTCGGCGCCGTTAATGTTTAACCATTCCCGAAACCTGCATTTCGCAAAGAGGAATTGAATATAAATGGCGTGTGGGAGATGGTTTTTTGAGTTCCTTTTCGCACCATAATTTGATGTGCGTGCACGAAGGATATTATTGTGTTCGCTTTATTACAAATTGCGTAACAAATTTCAAACGGATTTTTTCCAAAAGTTTGATAGATAAAAATAGATAGATAGTTATCTTAACTTTAACTTAATATTACATTAAAGATTTTTAACGAAGGACTAAAATTAAATTTTCAAGTTAAAATTAATTAAAATTTTATTTCTTTAAGATTTCATTTGCTAACAACTTTTTTTGGATTAATTATTAATTTTGTAACTGTAAATATTTTGCTTGTAATATATCCTTTTTTTCGAGACGTCGTAAATATCTTTATATGTGTGAGTCAGATGCGGGAGCATTCTGGTTTTTCGAGCACGTTAAGTCATAAAAGAGGCTAACTCGAAGTTACACCTGTCAGAGCAATTTTGTTTTACCTGCGTCATGTACCGCGTTGGAGAAGTCAACCGCTAAGAGATTGCGCCAACAAATGAAATTAGCGTTCCACTGTATTCAGGGGCGTTTCCTTGATGCGATGCGTCCTTCGTCGATCATTATCGTTCACAGTGAACCCTCGACCTTGAAATTACCCTCGAAGCAAAAAGTCACGTAATAAAAAAAAGTTGGATGCGAATCAATGCTTCGTGAAAGAGTGTCACTTTCGGAAAAGATTTCTTTAGAAATGAATTTTATGTTATTTTCGTCAAATTTGCAAATCACATTGTTGTTTAATTCTAACAAATTATCACAATATTTTTCTAATAATATTAAAAGTTGCTATCAGTTATTATTATTTTTAACAATTAATGCTAAGTGTTAGTATTCTAATATAATCCCAACGACAATCTTAGCTAAAGATAGTAAGAAAATCCCGATAATGATGATCCCGTAATAATTTTCTGCAAATGATGCAGCTTAATCCATTCGTTACTCGGCTGGATTTCGACGTACATCCAAGTTCTGATTTGTGGCAATTATTAAGGGATCGTAAAGCTTACCACGAGAAATCACCGGCAACTCCGTATATCGCCGGTATATCATCGGTGTTTACTGGCGGGAGTTCCACGATACGTCTAACTGTCGGGTGACTCATTTCAGGCGGCGGTCTGGCGCGTCCGAAGATGACTCTGAATCTGGATGCCGGTGGTAACGCGGCGGGAACGAGTGGTGGTAACCCGGGCGGTCAATTGGCGCCGAAGAAACCCGGTGGCTTGAGCCTCGGCTTACCATTGGAAATTACTACCGCTCGAATATCGGCCGATCTTGTTGACGTGGAGCTTCCGTTGGAGAGACAAGGGTGAGTGATAGGGTGCCGCCTTTTTCTTCGAGGCACTTTATTTTTGCACACGAACTTGAATGATGTAATATTAGATCGATCCGAGTATCGCTAATAAATTCATTAATATTTTCAAGGCTACGCGGTCTCATTCATGTTGATTCATATTTACTTATCCTTGAATTTTACAAAGTGCGATTTTTCGCGGAGTATTTTTGCAATGCTAAAACTGACGGATAATTTAATACGTGATAATTGAAGAGAATTTTTCATTTAGGTGGTATCATGGTTCTATCACGCGCATCGAGGCGGAAGGTCTTCTGCGAGTTCATCAAGAAGGAAGTTATCTGGTGAGGAACAGCGAGTCGACGAAACAAGATTATTCTCTATCTCTAAAGTTAGTAAGGTGTTAATTAATATTTCCACATGCATTTTGTTATGCTTATTAAATTTTACGAATTCTCTCGAATATGATCCGCATAATTACGCCGTTGTAATTATTTCAGGAGCGCCCGTGGCTTCATGCATATGCGCATTCAGAAGAACGAAGAGCTAAACGCTTATATCCTGGGACAGTTTAGCAAACCGTTCGACAATATACCGGAAATGGTCCGTCATTTCAGTGTGAATCGTCTTCCGATACGCGGTGCCGAGCACATGTGTCTCCTACATCCGGTCATAGTTCAGCTTTTGTAGCGCATCTATCGTAGCGCTATTTAAGGCGCTGAATATCTTCCCTTTTGATAATCCATTCTCTTTTTCTCCGATGAGTGCCGAAGCGCGCGATTGCGATGAGCGATAAGCTTGATACAGCAAACGAAACGTTAAACTGTAAGAAATATTATATTCTCGAATGAGGGAGTCTTCCGGTCGTCCGCGAGACGGGGTTGACTTTCGCGAGATATCCTCCGTATCAATTCGCATTCTGGTTGGACGAACCGTTCCGCACGAAGAGCGCCAGAGATAATGGACAATAATGGCATTGACGGGGAATACCGCTTCGCCGCGAAATGTTAGGGAGAGTACGGTACGAATACAGTACAAAAGTATAAATGGTGACTGAGCGAAGCTACTCTGCGATACATGTACGATCGATCAGACGAGAACGTCCGGGTCCGTGCAATTTATTGTGAGAGACCGATGTTAAACTATGTATGAAGAATCTCAGGTCGCTCCGAGTGAAGATACCTGCTCATAAACGTCGTCTTTTCGACAACGCTTTACTTTCGCATATTCTATAGCCGAGTCCAAGTTTCTATTGCACAATAAAAAATTAGAAATTGATAGGGCCGATGGAGTGCTTACCCCATCCCTCTTCCCTTTCATTGGATTCGAAAGGTGATGTCCACACGCTTCGTCTTCCTCAAAACATCGCGCAAACCTACCTCATGGGCAAACGCATGCATCGCGGCACACGATATAGAAATGAATGTAGCGGTATCAAAAATTGCGGAAGTCTGAGGAACGAAATTACCTGAAACAGATACGAATTATCTTTTAATGCAGTAGTGACCATTTGCGATAACTCTTACGAAGGAGAACGATTTCGGGATTGACGATTCCAGCAGAAATATAATGTTTTTTTTCTCGAGAACATTTTTCCCGATTGTTCCTCGAGTTTGCGATTGCGCGGATTCTACGAAAGAAATCTTTCAGGTGAGATCAGAAACGCTGCTATACGAAAGAGTAATAATTTCTAAAAAAGCAAGGAAGAAAAAGGTGTAATACGCATATTTAGATTCACACAGAGTGCCGCGTAGAGGCAGTTCGACGTAGTGCGAGTTGGAGCCAAAGTAAACAAATCCTAATATCCAGTCGAGAGATGTAGACTGGAGAGAGAGAGAGAGAGAGAGAGAGAGAGAGAGAGAGAGAGAGAGAGAGAGAGAGAGAAAGAGAGAGAGATATAAGATGGATACGCGCAGCGAGCGCGAATAAAATGCCAAACTTTATTTCTAATCGTAATCGTTTAGTCAGGGTTTAGTTGTCCGTCTCGTCGTTGATAAGTAGATTTAGATAAGCGAGCATATGATAGTCAGTTCGGTATCGATCACGAATACTGAAGCGAAGATCTCGTGTAATTTGAAGAGGAATTTGCGAAAAAGTTAATAACGAGTGTTTTTTGCAAAAACACGAGACGATGATTAGAAATGCACGAGAAAGAAAAAGGAATAGATCAGACAGTTTGAATTATCGGTGGCTCATCTGAGTCATCCGGGGAGTCCACAGAGACACCCGCGAAGATTTTTGCGATAGAATGCAACCGATACATATTTTTTCATGTGATATTAATTTGTTACAGAGATAGCCTAGTTTCACCTGTGATCTGTTACTTAATTCCCTTTGTCGGCGCTCGTACGAGTGCACGCGATAACGATAATAAATAATTAAACTTGCTATTATTATTACGTAGAATCAGCAACGATGCGTCATTTAGACGCGATGATGAGACGTCCGTGGTGTTACAATAATTTTTCGAGTTATAAGAGAAATTCGATTCGCAGAGGTTGTGAGCGAATTTTCGTTGGCCATTGTGCGAGCAACGCGTGGAAGCAAGAGAAGTTTTGCTTAAGATTAAGTAGTGAAGAGTATAGAAAACCTACAGCAAGAAGTAGCGAGTGCCGGCATTGTGAAAATTATCATAGTATTCGTCATAAATTGTCATAGTATCATTTGATGATTAATCATTTCATCAGTGCGCACTGATGAAAAAGTGAGACATTAGTTTTCTAATTAAAGCAATGTCCTAAATTTGCGATTATAAGAATATTTGAATTGTGAGCAAGGCACTCTCCACTTTCGCGGCTAATTAGGTTGAGTGTAATTCATACTTTAAGCTGCCAGTATTATTAACTGTAATCGATAATGCATATCCATATATGTTAATGTTTAAGACATTTATATTGTCCGTATAGCTCGATCATTGAAACACTATAATCTATATATACATTTATTTCTCCTATTATATTTATTGCATTGTGTCGTTGAGTACGATGATAATGATGAAGTTTCCATTGATTTAATTGCGAAATCATAGAGCTGTAACCTATCGTAATTTAGATTCCGTACACATAGATTAATACTACGTATCGAAAGGCAGTACGTAAATTATATGGTAGACACTAACTTGTAGATACTTCCTGTACCTTGAAATTTGTATGAAGTAGCATTTAGATTATATAATATATACATAAATATATATTATTATAAATGAATATACCAGCGCGTATAGTTCTTGTTTGTAGGGTACGTAAAATAAGATCGAGCAAAAGCGGGATGAATCCAATAAATATCTTGAGCGCTGTGCACGCCCTTTATTACGTAAAAAGGGATCTCGATGGCAATGTGCAATATTCTGACACGGTCTCGTATGACAATGACGTGAAGTGCGATCTGATATTTTTTTTTTTTAGCAAGCAGACCACCGATGTTCCAAATCGACTTCACTAGATAGTCTTGTGTACTCTGGAAATCTCTCTTAATAATAAAATAATTAATAACTCCAGCTTGATCATGACAGTCATAGTTTCGATACCTTTTTACTTAAAAAAAGATTTTTTTTTAAGAAAAATTGTACAAAATTATATAATGTGGATTATTTATTTATTTATTTTTATTATTTTGTGAGCAACTGTCATCGCGAAAGTCGTTTTGACAGTTGTGTTGTAACAAAGTTAATAACATAATACAGTATTATATAATTTTTGCTCTTTCCATTTAAAAAGATAAATAGCGCGCATGCAGCGCGTGTAAAGAAAGTTAATTAATAAATAAATAAAACAGCAGTACCAAGAAATATAAGCAACAAGAATAAACAGAAAGAGAAAATTTAAGAAAGTTCAGAAGAATGACGATTGTAAACATTAAACAACCATTTAAAAAATAAAAAATAATTATTTAGAATTTTGGTAATATAGTTGTAATTAATTATGGATGTAATATATACTCGTAAAATATATAAATAAGTTATATAATATTATATTTATATATATAAGTGGCGTCATTTTATTATATATTTATTATATATTTTATGCATGTTTTCTTAGATTTTAATATGTTTTTATTAATGATTTTTTTTTTATATTACAATTTATTAAAAGTTTTTTTCTTATTTTTACTATAGACATATATGTAAAGAATACCCTATTTTAAATAATGCATTTTAAATAATGCATTTAATATCTCTTGAACAATGTATTTAAAAAAAATGTTTTATATAAAAGTTATACGGTTTCGAGGAGGCCACATGATTGCGATTTATTTGAAGATGATGCACTTTGAGATTTTTTATGATTGTCATATTTTTTTAAATAGAATTATATATTTTTTATTACGCAATATGATTCCTCTATTTATTTTGGATAAAAAATATTAAGGTATAAATGTCAAAAAATCAATAATCTACATAATATTTTATATTTTATTCTGACATATTCGGACATCCTATATATACACGTGATATGTATCATGATAAGATTATATGTATTTAACATAAACATTTGCGGAACGTAAAATAGAGAAGATTCGTCTTTGTCCCATGTCTCTACGTCTATTTTTGAAGAAGTTATGGCTCTTTAAAAATTCGCAGGTGCGCCTTTGTAAAAAACCGTCGAAAAACGCCGTGAGCATTTTTTGCTTACATGTGTTCGTACCTTTTTTGCCTCCCCAAAAAAGTGTGAGAACACGTGTAGTACAAGCTCTTTGAAATACGATACGCCGCCGTCGTGAAAACATATGTGCGCCATCTATCAGATAGATCGCCAAAAATCATGATTGCAGTCGATATTGTCAATATCTTCTTATTACTTTAATCGTATTATCAAATTTTTACTCCTGTTTAAAAAGATAAATAGCGCATTCCTTGCATAAATTAAATAATCTTCAGATAATAATCTTCATATTATTTAATTTATTTAACTTCTATTGCTTCACGTTAGTTTTGTATGAGGCAATTTTATCCTGAAGTTGGAATAAGTAATAAATGGTTATCATCTTCTTATGGGAATTCTCCAGGGAACTTTTTACAATCTGTGCCAAATCAAACATTGTAATTTATTTAAATAAAATTGCATGAATTAGCTTATATTTTTAATATTATTGATAATAAAATATGTATAACGTATCGTTTTTTCTTCTGGTTCTGATGTTTTCAAGTCTTTTAATTCTTTCTTTTCTTTTGTTTTGCTTTTCTAATATATGATGAAAGAAAGGCAAGAAGTATATTGTTGTAACAAATAGATTGCATGGTAACAACAATATTTATAATAATTACATAATGTATTTTAGCGTCTTTAATTCAATTTAATTTAATTATACTGTAATTTCTTTTCAAATACGATAAATTCCCGGAACACGAAGCGTTGTTTTATTCATGCACGGTTTCCAGCGCTATTTCGTCGGGACGGCGGAGATTTACGAAGTGGCGTTGGAGCAGATGATGAACGTTCCTGAGAGAGTTGTGAGAGTGGAATAATATACTTCGCGGGCGAAATGAATACTTGAATTACTTATGACGATTAGATCATGTTAATATTCACCGAGGATCGTGTTTCCTCGCTAGTCTGACTTTCCCAACAAGTTGGTCCGCAGACATCCGACAACAGCCGACTGCGATACATTTGACCATCTTTTCCTCGTATCAAACCGTCAGTTAATTGTATCATCTCGGGTCCCCATTGAGTAAGGAAATGTCCCGTCCGCAGGACTCTTTGCTGAGGAGTCGTAACTGTATGACTCCCGCCACAGTACCGATTACAGAGATGAGCTCTAATACAATTAGATTTGTTTATTGTTAAACTATTTAATAAAAATACTGAAAATTGTAAAACGTATAATTGTAATCTTAAGAGAAAATAATCTCGAGAATTTTTAGAAGAAAGCATTTCGAAAGCTTCAAATTATAACATATATATTATTTACTAACGTTGGCTTATAATATATAATTTATTTTTTGAGATGTGAAATTGTAATATATTGTTTGCTCTTTGAAAGATATAATATTTTCTCGAGATTTTGAGATTGAAGAAAATATTTTAATATCAGGGTTACCCGGGGGTCTTTGCAAGTAACTCCTCCTTCATTTTCGTCTTCTTGCACCTGACCTTTTCTTGCATTGCTGCTTCAAATTGGATCATATTTCTGCCGCAAGGCAATCTTCTCTGCTGCCTTCTGACTTGATCCAATTCATATGTGAGATAAGGCTTCATGCTGATGGTGCAAGGTAGCGGTCCGACACGATATCTAACGACTTCTTCTCTTTTCATCACGACATCCTTATCGCATGATATACATTGAACATCTCTGAATAAAAAATAAGAGTCGACAATGCGAATGCGTTGAAATTTTAATTGCGAGTTTGAAATGTCTACCTAAGCATCTTCTTCGTTCCAGCTGCTTCAATTTCGCGTCTCGCCTCGACTATTATTTTCAATTTTTCTTGAAGTGATTTTAATTTTTTATGTACAAAATCCATCAATGGCGTCATCTCGGCTTTATCCATCTTGGTAGCGATTTCATTCTGTACATTATCAAGCGCTTGTTGCCAAATCGATTCTTGCTTGGTCAATTTGTTGATCGCTTCCTCAAGACCACGAGCAAGATCATCGCAGGCAGCATTGAATTTATCATGTGATACCTATAATAATATAATATTTTTAATCGGTAATGAAACTCAGTAGATTTAAATCTTTTACTTTTCTGTTCATGGTTTGAGTATCCGCTTTGTCAGCCAGAGCATCTTTGAGATCCTCTTTGTTTGCTTTGATGGTTTTCAGAAGTTCTATTTGTTCTAGTAACGTCTGTCAACGTAATAGTGGAGAATAACAAATATGATCACTCAAATAAATTACATGAAACATTGCTCTTACATATTAATTTCTAGACTTAAATATTATTTAACATAAAAACTTTACAATGATTTAATAAATTTATTTTTATTATTGAAAGATCATACTTTGATGTGTGCGTCTTTCGTTTCTTTATCATCGAGTATTGAGCCCATCGCTTGTTCGATTTTTTCCATATCCGTTTCGATTCTTTGCATATTCGTAACGAGTTCATTAATATCAATATCATCTTTCTTATCCACTTTTTGCAACCTGTCCATTCTTTCTAACAAATGTCCAATTTCTTTCTCTAATGCGATTACACGTTGAGTAACATCGCGCAAAGCATTGCCATGTGTCGTTTCTACATTTCTTACAGCCTCTAGGCATTGTTCCAAGTTTGCGGCACTCACTTCAACTATTTGTTCTTTAATTAGTTCTCTTTCAACAACAGGTTTTTCTTCTTTTATCAATGGCGCAATGGTGGGTATTTCGCGCTCTATTTAAGAATAACATATAAATAATAAAATAAAATAAAAAAAAGATAGATATAAAAGTTGTTAACGTACGTTCAATTCTTTCATTAAGGTTTTGCAGTTCTTGTTTTATCTGAATTACATCCTGTTTTAACGTAGCCACGTCTTGGTGTATTTCTGTTATATCGATGTCATCTAAATATATTTTTTACATTTAATATACTTTAGAAGTTAGAATAATTACTACATTATAAATTCATAAGTGATTCATATAATGATGTTTTTAATTTTAAATATTAATTTTTATAAAACTATATTAAGCTCATTACTCAGATGTGCTACTCGAGAAGCAAGCATCTCAGGTGATATTCTGCGTATTTTATCAGTTATCTTATCTATTGCTTTTGGGATTTCGTCTTTTTCGTAATACGGTACGGTCACATCATTGGTTACTGCGGCTTCTACTGCTGCTATTGTTGCATCTGCTTCTTCTTTTTCCTCTTCCTCTATCTTTTCTTCCTTTACTGTTACGTCAGGATATTTATCAGTAGTTGGTGGTATATCTTCAATTAAAACCGCAGTAAGTGTTTGCAGATTTTTGAGCTTTTGCTCCATCTTAGAAACTTTATCTTCAAGTTTATCCAATCTCGTGTTTATTAAAGACGTATCTATTGCTGATGTTACATCTTGTAAAGTTTGATATTGTTGTTCCAACTGCTTTACCTGTTAATTATCTGTTATTAGAAATAAAATTATATGTTCTCATATCTTATATAATATTTATTTCAAAAATTTGTTTTATATACGGATTGTTCAAGCTGTTTGTATGCTGGAGGCTCTTTCACGACAGGTTTGTCAAATATGACCGTCTCAACTTCGTTGACTTTTTCTATCTGTGGTTTTATATCTTTTGGCACTTTCAAAGTATCCTCCACCGGTTGAATATCTGAATCAAATTAAATTTTTTTTATAGCAATTATAACTTAACGTTTATAATTAATTATTTAGATAATTGTTCGAAGTCTAGAGACATATTACATCTCAATTTTAAACACATACGCAGAATACACAGAGTATCACCTGACAAGCTCGCTTCTCGAATAGCATATTAGAGCTCATTATAGTAATGAGCTCAATATAGTTTTATATAAAAATTAATATTTAAAATTAAAGGCATTATCATATAAATCATTTATTTGTATTATCTGAGCAAATAAATAGATGAAAATAGGAAACAAGAATTACAAGTTTGTACCTTCTGCAAGTATACCAACGTCTGCTTCATCGTCGGTAATACTATAGTCATAAAGTGGAGTCTCTGGTTTAAAGGATGTTATTATCCTCTGCAATAGCTCTTACGTGAACATACAGGAAAAATAATTTTTCTTTTTCCGATTACTCGGCATATTATTTTTCTTACTTTAATGCGATCCGCATTTTCTCCACGGTACTCAATTTTGGTAGTCTGCAAATTTGTTTGATTCAACAAAACATGAAGAAAATTATGAAGAATATTGAAGTTAACCGCGCCAACCTGAAATTAATTAATAATATGAATTGTTTCATTTATAAGATGAATGATAAAATAGTTTCATCATCATTGCTTTACCTCTGGTGATCCGAGAGCAAGATCGAGCATTTGAGAAAGAGAAATTTGTAGGCCGACATCGATGTTAGCTGTTGGTACTTCCGGCAATTGTGCAATTTCCGCAGTCATTTTGTACGCAAATAATAGATTTTTTGGAAATCACATAAGAATCATAATTAAACTTCTTGTTTGTTAAACAGAAAGTTAAAGACACTGACAGAATTGTCAATTTTGAAAATCAATTGCCTTTTGCTCCTGTATTCATTCTTTATCTAACAGAGAGATGAAGCTATGTCTGTACATTCACAGTTGGCGCCACAAATATGGTCGACAAGTAGCGTACTCCTATGGAAAATATTTGTATTAATAAATATTTCTTTTTATTTATTTAAAGATTATAAAGAATCAACAAACTTCTTTATTATTCCGTCTTTTAAATAAACAAATAAAATAAAACGTTTAATACTTAATTAAATTTAATTTTTTTATTATAGTTTAAGAAATAAATATTTAAACGATATGTTATTATTTATTTTATTGCAATCTTTTAAAATCTTCTTTTACATATACATATATCTATCATAATTTGAAATTGCGTGCGCATATCACCATTTTCTTAAACCACATCCATTTTACATGTCATAAAAATATCATACAGCAATGAATAAGATATAGTACGTAGTTTGATATATTTTCTCAATCATCTCCGCTGATCGAATACCACCGATATGACGGGTTAATGAAACAGTAATTCATCGTGCGTCGTTTCTCTACAAATAGGCTTGGTTTATCTGACTGCACGTGGCCGGTAGACCGAAACGTGAAATAGAATCTAGCTAGGTTACACTACCGTGGAGATTACATCGAATCGTATATATTTTATCGAGTCCCCGGATATGATATTCTCGAGCGTTTCCGTTAGACAGATACGATCAACGTCAGCCCGATCGCGTATTTATATGCTCGCACGTCCATCCTGCGACGATGATGAATCCTCGCGTATCGAGGGGATAAATTAAAAGCGCCGTACTTCCTAACCGGTTTATACATTAGCCAGAGATGATGTATGAATAGTTATTATATATATATATACTATGTATATTGTATATTATCTATAAGTTCATAGAATTAAGAGCCCTATAATTTTAATTATAAATTATTCCGCCTAAAGAACTTTAGAAACAATAATTTTAAAATAGTTAGATTTTTCTCTGTCTCGCACAAGTGGCGAGATCGGAAAAGTTTATTTCTGAAAAAGGAGATCGCTTTCTTCTTCACGTTTTCGTGCTATTTCGAGATATTTGACAAAATATAACAAAGTTTACGTACATTTCATGTACCGTTTTATCTGAATGATTCAGCTGCGGTTATGTTACATTTGTATAGCTGCGTTCTCGAATTACCCACGATAAAGCCGATATTGGCGGTATTTGAGTTACGTTGTTTGATCGCCAGGCGAATGTTTAACTGTGAGTAATGTCAGCATTCTCGACGGCCGATATCTATATGGGGATCTGACTACTCAGTAGCACAGTGGTAACTTTATCCTTATGATTTACTCATCTGTCAGGTGAGAGACAGCTCCTTTCGATCTTCTTTCGCGATTTCTTCGGTCACCGCCGGCCAGTGCAGCGGCGGTCGCAGCCCCAAAATGATGTATACGTCAAAGGGGAGGTACGCTGTGGTGACGGTGAGTGTGGACAATTCAATTTTAAGATGTCGTTTTATATTCGACGATATTAGTCTGCGTTACATCGCTCCTCAAATATTGACGTTTCTATCGTTCGCCCGTTCGCGGCAGATTTAATTTCGGCTTTCAGCCTCTGTGTAACTATCGTCGTAGCTTGTCCGTATCGACCAGTTCCAGTATAATATCCCCGCCGATAAGGCCTATTTCCACGCGGAATCCGATTCGATTCAAACCGTTTGTCTCTCGATTGTTTCGACACGCAGCATGCGCGCGCATTAAATTTAAAATGCATCGAACAATAATTTCATATCCGTAATAGCCCTGAGGGAATCCGGACGGCCCCGGAAATGTTGTAGTCTAGCCTGAACGAACTCCGATGCGCCGATACTGTAAATATCCATTATTCGCTGGTGCAAACATCCGCGGTGTCGTAACTTGAATCTCCTTTCAGTTTCTTCTGTTTACTCTAAGTCACGGGGATTCATTTGGCCGCACGGAGGCACGGCAGCGGTACAATTCCGCGATACCGCCACTTTCGTGGCATCTCGTGCTACCCTGGGAGTACATGCTGCGCGAGGTTATCCTCAAGTCGGTCACCCCGTCGCCGTTGGATGCCAGTGCACCGTACAGGCGCCCGTTGGACGTCTCCTTCTACGGCGGACCGATGGCTGCGTACTCGAGCGACGATGAGAATGTCATTCTATCGCGCGGAAACGTCTATCGTTTACTGAATGGCCACTGGATGCTATGCCAGGATGGATGCGTTGATTGCGAGCCGTGCACGGCTCAGACAGACCCGTTGTTCACGTGGATTCTCCGGAGGATCAAGCGACCGTCGAATTCCAATCCGGCGCGACACGATCTCCAGCTGACGATAATGCCGCAAGCGAACGATCACTTGCACGCGAATAATTTCTGGCCGAATTATTACGTTTACGTGGCGTCACAGGGAGAACAAGTGCCGACTTCGACGATCAGAAGGCAGTATGACAATGGATCGGAAAAGAATCCTCAAAAGGAGATTTCTCGAGAACTCTCTAATCTCGAGAACAATTTTTCCGAACGTCATCATCGATCGAAAAATTTCTGGCAATTGACAGAACGAGATTCGAGCACTGAACGAAATGGGATACCGCAAGAGAATGTTTATGCTACCGTTCAGGAGAATGTGAGCACCGAAAAGACCGAGCAAAAGGAATCGCCCGAGCAGAAGTACAAACTCAGGAATATGAGACATCGATCCCAGTCAAGACCTGTAGAAAAACCCGCGGAAGAAGTGAATCAATTGACGCCGAAGTTGATTCTGGGAACCGATCAAAAAGGTCAGAAACATTTGGTTCACGTGGTGCCGGCGGATTATCCAACGATCACTAAGCTCCCTACGATTTCTCTTTCTTCAAATTATCCGATATCGTCGCAATTCAAGAAGGACCAAGCAACACTCTCAAACAACACAATGTCCAAATACGAGAAGCAAACTTATCAACGGATATTTCATAGAGTTTTCGATTCCTTGAACACGCACAGGCGATCGATTGAAGATTTCCTCGAATCACCAATGGACAACATGGATGATGGACGTCGATCATCTTCTTTGATGGATAATATGGAAGTTGCTGGGTTTTCTTGGAATAATCGCGATATAAATTACAAAAATAATCCGTTGCATTTTAATGACACATTGTTATCATCTTCTTATATGGGAAATGAAAGTAAATTAGGAAATTATCAAAATTATATAAACAGGCGTGGTTCTGAATATATGAAACAAAAGAATGATCGTTACACAGTATATCGAGATATGGATCAAGTTAAGATATCGCGTGACCGGTCGCAAACAAGTTCTAATACAAATTTAAACAAGGAACAGCAAAAGATACATATTGACTCGTACTCTAATATTAAAAATAATTCGAGAATAATTTCACCGTTATTGTTACAAAACTTAGACAATTACTCGGTAAATGTTATTCAGAGACCTGGTTTTAGTAATGACTTTGCTATAAATTCCGCAAAACAAATTAATCTTAACGACACGTTTGTTGAGAAAGCAAAAAACAATTCCATGGAGTCGAGTTCGATAACAATAAAACGCGAGAACGGACAATTGTTCGGCTCAGAAAGACTGAGAAGTGGCGATGTTAAACGAGAATTCGAGGCTTCGCGCCATGCTTTCAGGGTAATTGTTACTACCAAGTCGCCGGTAATTCGAAGTGAACACGAAACTTTAAATCGCACTACAGTATTACAAATGACTACTCCGAAGACATTTGCTAATAGTTTATAATCAGTAATTGGAAAGAAAAACTAACGAAGAGAAAAAGAGTGAGAAAAGAGAGTAATAGAAGTAAATACCTATATAATTATGACAATTTTAATTATACATTTATATAATTTTATAATTATACATTTATATAATTGTAGAGAGTAGTTTGTACGCTTTATTTAAGCTGTACAACAATAAATGTATGCTAATATCTTGTTATGAATAAAAAACGCATATTAAGACTATTTAAAAATTTTCTATTTTAGAGCAATTAAATTTTTTCGTTAAGAATCAGAGATATATTTGAAAATAATTTATAAAGAACAGTAAAATTACATGAGAAAAAATTAATAAGATAACACGATATTTGTTAGTCAGCACGATATGTTAGGGGTTGCGCGAAATTATGATCTTATGTTAAAAATGATTGTACACCAGAATTAATAGGCAAAGCTGTTATTGTAATTTTGAGATACACATGTGCCTCCATCGTATATAAACATAGATACATCTGAAACTCGCGAGAGCACCGAAGCATATGTATGAGGCAGACGGGCGATTCGGTTTGAGAAACAGGGATAGATCGATGCTTATATTTAATTAAAGAGGATATGGGCTCGAGTGCGAGAGAGGAGGTCGGATGAAGCAGGTAGTGCCGGGTTGTTAGGAGGAATGAGGGAAGATGCTAGAGTGAGCCTGTGTTTCTTGTCTAATTATCTACCC